TTGAGTCGGGTGTAATATCCAACGGGTTTTGTGTTATGATGTTGTGAGTGATAAGTACCCTTATAGGGTGGTGAGCATTGGGTTTTAATGGCGATGGTGTGTGATTGCCTATTGGTATCTGGTGTCAAAGGCAATAAGGTTGTTGACGTCTTAGTCTTGAGGTTTGATAAGGTGTTTCTTGGAAAGGTGTGTGGCTGTGGGCCTCCTTCTTTAAGGAAGGTAGATTTCTAGGACGAAATCTTTTAAAGTTGGGGAGAATGTAATGTTATGACTCATATATATATATATATATATATATATATATATATATAATTATGTGTGTGGTGAAGAATAAAAAGGAAAAAAAAGAAACTTTTATTAAAAGGGGTGGGACCCACAAAGATTTTTTTAAAAAGAAAAGAGGCCAAAGGACACTTTTGGCCACATTTCTTCCTTCTTTTCTCTCTCTCCCGATCTGGTTCTCTCTCCCTCCTTTCTGTTTTCTTTTTTCTTTTTTTTTTTCTTTTGCAAAATTCAATCTTTAATTTCTCTTTCATCCCCTGGAGTTTTGGGTGCCGTTTGCGCAAATCGAAGAGCTCAGTGAGATCTTCAAGTTGATGTAAGCAATTTCAGCTTTTGCCCACTCTAAGAATTCCAAAAATTTGAACCCATTTGAGGGATTTTTAGAAAATTGAGGTAAGGGTGTTCTAATACCCATTTCTTTGAGCTTTGTGAGTAAATCTCCTTTAATTGATGTACAAGCATGCTTAAATTGTACTGAATTCTTGAGATGTAATTTATATATTGTATACATGATTTTTTTTATACTGTAAAAAGTGTGTGATTATGTAATAGCTGCCTTGTTGAGATGATACATGCTTAAGTGATGTTAATTTAAGCCTTATGTATTTAAGTTATTGGATTTGCAAATTGAAAGTATATAAAATGACATGAATTAGAAATGTGAGAATGTGATATTGTGTGGAAATTCATGTTTTAAACATGTCTAATTGATGTGGATGATATGTACGAAATTTTTATATTATCATAGCATTGAAAGAATTACATAATTCATGCATTACCATTGGGAAAGTAAAGGGAAAAGTTTATTTTAAAAATAAATGAAATTATTTTTGGGAAAATATTTTCAAAGGTGTTTGCGAAAACCGGACGCCTAGGAGGCCCCTAGTGGTCCATGTTGTTAGTGTAGTCTAGAAGGGAGTGTGGTTCAGCTAACTAGGCCAGATGCGACACCTTGGAGGTGACTGTGGTCATGGATAGTTAGTTAACCCTCCATTCGTGATGCCTTGGAGGTGCCTTGGGTCGGATTGTACTAACAGTTTGGAAGTTGAAACGGTATTGTTTCGGAAATAAGGAGCGACATTGCATGGCATGGCATTACGTTGGCATACATTGTATATTTGGTGGTTAGACGACTTGCGTATGTATTTGTTGATATCACCGTTGATTTACTTACTTTCCCCAAGGCATGATCCCATTTACTTGTATTCTATTCCTTGTATGGATTCACGATGTTGTAAGAGGTGTGTCTTAGATACTTCCTAGTGAGCGGTTGGCTCACCCTATTCTATTATTAACATTTCTCAGGATACGAAAGGGAAGTGGCAGACGACGCTCCTCCATAGTTTTTGACGGGTTAGTGGACTATTTTGACATATTTTGTAGCTATGATCCTATTATTATTATTATGTATTGACATAGGAAAAGACGGTAGTGTCCTTAGTTAACCTCGGGTTTGGATAAAGACCCGATTAGCTATTCGAACCCTTGGGTTCGGGTTGTTACACTACATATATTAACTTACCCTAATATCTGTAACGTCACATTAACGTGTCATCGTAATATTCTACCATTGCTGATATTGTGCTATTATATCGTGCAACGTGTAAATAACCGTTGTACTCTCTGGTTATAAATACATCGAGAAATCTCAAGATTTTAACACTGAAAACCATTTTCGTCTTCTGCAATATTTATTTCCAGAGAGTTATATAGTTCACTATTTTCTTCTCTGATTTTATTTATGGCTTCATATTATTTGGCTATCATTGTTTTACCAAATACACGTTCGCTACGTTGTTCATGTTCTGCAATCCCACTGACCAAAGGACCATATTAAAGCTGTTCAACTTCCACTGCATTACGAGTGTACGTTTGCAGTGGATCTTTTGCTGTTGTATCCTGGAGGTGGAACGCCGTAACTTGCTACACCAAGATATCATCTCAGAGGGGTGGATTTACTCTTAAGGGCAGTGTATTCACACGCCTCAGCTAAGTCCTTCGTATATTTTTATTTCCTACTCTCTATTATTTCCCATAATATAGCAGTAGTCTATATTTCTCTTGATTTTTCATCCCTTTATTTCCTACAGCTCTTTATGCCAAAAAGTTATCTTGATGGGCAAAATCACAACCTACAGTGGCATCACAAAAGATTCACTCTCCATTGAATAATATCTCATGGGAAGAGTAAGCTTCATCTTTGGAGATAGAAGTGACTATAGTTAGTGATTTTTTATTTCATCTTCCGATCTGCAAACACACACATATATATGCATATATCTCTTTAGTCTTCATCTTCTCTTCTTCTTTACAAAAATAAAACACAAATCCGAACAGCCGACCGTGTTCAACATGTATTTAGGCAAAAGCCCGCGAATTCAAAAATTGAGTTCATGAACTCAAAAAACTGAGTTCGTGAATTTGGGGCGAATCCGCTCCCAAAACGTCAATCCGTGTACAAAACTCTAAAGCGGCAGTCCTCCACGCGAATTATGTGACTAAGCTCATAACTCCTGACATTTCTTTAAGAAGTAGGACTGATATCGCTAGGCCACTCGCTTGTTGATAAGTAGACATGCATATTCTTAGTGTAGTATAATGGGCTTTAAAAAAATATATTGTATAAGTGGAATCCACTCCATCCTCTACCTTCCAACGCAAAAGGTGAGAGTTGGAGTCCTCTAGAGATGGATAGGGGTGTGTGAATTTATTGTCAGTAAAAATAAAAAATAAAAAAACCATGGTATCACTTAGAAATGGGGCTGTGAATGCAGTTGAGTGTGCATGGGATTGTAGGCGCCGAAACATAGGGCGGTCAGTTTCTCTCTCGCTCTTTACATGTTTAATTAGTTTGTTCTTTCTCCCTCTTAACTCTCACAATCTATATTTCATCTCCATTTCATAGCAAGTGTTGTGTGCTTTGAACAACATTTCATTCCATGCCATGCAACGACTTTGTGAATTTCAAGTCTTTCTTAACAACTACTCCAAGAGCTCATCATACCGTTAGATATCCAAGTCCACGTCTAAGTCCCAAGCATTTTCGGACAAATGCAATTGATTTCTCCATGCATCACATGGAACTGCATATGCACTACTCACTCATCATAATTTTTCTTTGGGTAAAAAAAGAAAAATAAAAAATAAAAAAATCCTTCTAACTTAATACGATTTCTAGAAAACTCACTTGAACTTTCATTTTTCACAAAATCCCCCTTATACTATTCCAAAAATATACAGATATTCCTATGCAGCATACAAACAATTGTAATAGCGATAAAAAATTAACATTTTTGGACCTGATTTCCATAATATCATTCTCATCAAAATGACCTAAGGATCATTTTTAGTCCCATGAATCGACCCCATGATGAAAACAGATCATCCTATTTTATTTATTTTTATTTTTTTAATTTGTTAGAAACACACACACACCACTTATACACTCACTTTTGACCTTTTTGGAAACTCAAAACCTCACCATCGACTTTAGGAGGTAGAGGAGAGGCCACAAGACCCTTGGTTTTTTTTTTTTTGGTTACTAAAAAGGGTCTTTAACAACCAATGTTCTTTTTAATTTTCATTATTGAGGAGTAAAATAGTAATTGAATATATGTTAGCTACACTTTAATAGTTGGGGATAGGTTGCACACTTTCAAATAGTTAAGGAAATTAGTTAACCAAAACCTTGAAAGTTAAGGCTTTCATTTTATTTTATTATTATTAATCCTTTTTCATTTATCAAACAAAATAAAATAAAATAAAATGATCACTAACAAAGTAGAGTGATGTTTCTAGTGGATTGTAGAAGGTAGAGAATTAAGCTCATTAGGGGCAGAATAGTAAATGATGGTCGTCGTCCTACCATGAGCTTAAGAGTGTGCATTAAGGAAAGGGCGAAGAGTTTTACATTTATAAAAGCCACTACTACCTTTCACTATAAATATAGCTAGGGCGAGTAGGGATCGTCCCAAGGGATTATGAGGATCGAGCAATGTCGTGGAATTGTACTAGGGCTAATAGGTCGAGTGATCAAACAATTGGTTGGTTGGTTGATTAGAAAGCAACTAAATTAAACTAAGTGATAACAAAAAATGCAATTAAGAGTAAGTAAGAGAGAGAGATCTTGAGGTTTAGAGATCACCACCAAGTAATGCATTTCTATACCATTGTCAAGTGACTAATGAGGGCAAATGATGTGTTGCAATATTGGTGTGTGTGTGTTTGGTTGATTCAACAAGTAAGGATGACTAGTTAAGCATGTATTGTCTAAACATCATGTGAAAGGCACAATATATCTAAGCAATGAAGCATATATTGTCTAAACAGCATGTGAAAGGCACAATAAATCAAAACAAGTCATTAATCCTTTCATTAAGCTCACAATCCAAATACAACACAAGGATAGAGACATATGATACTTGCATTCAAAAGCTTGGATCATCAAACCATTTAACAGTACACTACAACTACACTACATCTACACTACTAGCATTAAAATAAACTAGGGGAGAGGCACAATCCATCAAGGAATAAGTATGAACCATCAAGAGAATCACAAAAGCATTCCTTTAAGCACTATGTTTTGACAATCTCTAAATTTATAGCATCAATACACATAGACATGCATCAAATCTAGAGACAAGCACATGAACATCTATTCTAGCATACATAAACATATGGATAGAATGAAATGATCAATTGAAAGCATTAAACCACATAAATCATTGAATAAACAAGAGCTATATATATCAAAGTGTCAAAATATTAATTACAACACTAATCCCTCAATAATACACAAGATTAAGATAAAGAAAACATGCTTGGGGCTAACTCTAGCCCCAAGAGGATGTCCCTCAAGGGCTAACTCCATGGTTGAAATCTGCTCCTTGTTGATGAAGAACTCCAATGGTGTCTCTAGCCTCCTCCTCCTCTAAGCTTGCTCTCCAAGAGATGATATGAAAATAATATTGGCTTTTTTTTTGTAAAAAGCAATCTTTATCCTTATATAGGTAGGTCAAAATGACACCCAAAATAAGCTGGGGTCGTGCACACAATATTCCCTAATGATTGGATAAAGGACAACTTTCAATGAGATGGAAATTTAACTTTTTTGCACTGGAGGAAGTTCGATCGATCGAATCTTGGACTTGGATCGATCGAACTGGCTGAGACCCATCGAACTTAGGCTGGATAGATCCAACTGGTTAAGCTTTTTGGGAAAAGACAAATCCGAGATATTTTGAGAGATATTTTTGGGAAAAGGACAAAAGTTGTTAGTGGGTGGTACAGCTGTGGATAGTATCAATCATTTGGATAAGGACAAAAGTGTTCGATCGATCGAAGGGTGGTGTTGGATCGATCGAACTTTTGGACTTTATGCTTTTGGATCAAGGCTTGGATCTATCTTAAAGTGCTGAGATTGATTATTGTTCGATCGATCGAACCTTGAACTTGGATCAATCGAACTTTGCTGCTTGCCACCTTTGGCTTCATTTGCTTCCTTCTTTCTCCACTTTGCTCCTTTCTTTGTTTAATTCCAGAATTGCTTCAATTAATCTTTTATTTGGCTGAGTTAGCTTATTTTCGGGATAAGTGCCTGAAAATGGAAATAATACGAAATCAATCTAAAACGGTAAAGTAAGATAGATAATGGAACTAGAATGCCTAAGCTTAAGGGGTTTAAATATGCACTTTTCAGCGTTCATCAGTAAAATAGTCGGTATGATTCAATAGGGTGCAAAATTAACCTAGATACAAAATCAAGACGAGGAGGGCTAACCTTCTTGCAATTGTTATATCGTGACTATTAGAATATATTATATAATATATTATTACTATATAGTAAAATATATTCTAACTATATATAGGTTTTCCTTATATAGGATTACCATATATATAGTTACGATATACATATAGGATTTCAAGATCTCATTCCCAAACTCAAAGATGGTTTCATTCAATCCACCTTGATTTTGAGGGGGTTATATAGGATTACCATATATAGGTTTACCTTGTATAGGATTACCATATATATAGTTACCATATATATATTGGTTTACTTGTTCATCACACATAACCAAAACCGAGCTCAAAAATATCCTCTCAACAAAGTTACGATCGTTCGCATAGTGTTACGATCGATTGCAGCTGAGATACCCCTCGGATCCGAGATACGAGATGATCAGGCCCAGGCCCAACCCGAGGGAATATCAAACAATTAATATTTTAAAGCGAACACAGAATACAAAGTGAATAAAGAAATAATATAATGAGCTGAAAGAAACTAAAATATAAAATCCTTTAATATTAAATACTTAAAATCCCATATAACCAAGATTAAATAATCCAACTCCAAAACCTCTCAGGGCATAACTCGGGAATCCATCCTGTGGACCCCTAATAAGAAAACCAACTGAACTGTAAAATTTAAAAGAAAACCATATGAATAGAGATCTTACGTCGTCGGAAGAATGAGTGGTCGTCTCTATTCAGTACGAACAAACTCAAGCCTGGAACTGATGTACACCTGAAAAATAGGGGTGGGTCAGGCCCACGAACAAGTTCTATCCTACTAAAATCCAAGCAGAGACTCGATACGCATATACACTCTAACCAACTCAACAATAACTATATAATCCATGTTTATATATATATATATATCCACACTATGGACTCTCACTGGACTATGATACGGGTCTCAACCTGAGTAGGAGGTAACATGTAAAACGCAACTGAGTGGACATGACTACCTAAGCCCAACAGGGTACACCTCAACCAGTATAGCCAGCTACGCGTCCTACTGCATATACGCTCCCTAACCGTCGACTCTGAGACTCAAGCTCATGTCACGGTACCATAATAATATATTTAAAATCTGTTCACATTCATCCAAAAGAAATCTAGTAAGTCGTTCAGCTTATTCAACCGCACAGACTTATACATAAAGAGGATTCTATTTTTATAATCCATTCCCTTATTCCAAAATAGTTAGGACTTAGCAATTTGAGCTAATCCAAACCTAGTATGTCACCGTCCCATACCGGTACATACAATCCAATCCATCCAACCGTTGATAGAATACATAATCAATGCACATAGCAACTGAACCATAATAAGCATAAATAGAAATATAGACTAACATGCTTACTCCAGTAACTGATAAATCAAAATAATAAGATATATCAATTAATTCCATGATGAACATAAAGAAAATAGATAAACTATCATATTCATTCCATATCTCCATTACAAATTATCTTACTTTGAGAATGCAGATAATTTATTCTCCTCGTCCATAAATCCATGCCAAGTATAATAATAACCATATTAATTATCCTACTTGACACTATTAATAATATCATATTAATCAATTTTCCATTCACAGAGAATAAATAAATCAAGGTTCAATAATTTAACATTCCTCTGCACTGAAATAAAACAATTTCCGTTGGGACTTACCAGTGTTCAAACTATAAACACCTACTGGTTTATTGAGCATTAATCCACTCTCTCAAGTGTTAACTAGACTTAGAACATCTTAAAACACCCAAGTATAGCTTCCTCCAGAATCCAAAAATCCCAAAATCCGAGTTCCGTAGCCAAACAGGTTGCAGAAAAACGAAAATCTGGACTCTTTCAAAGAAAAAGCCGGCTCTCCTAGTCTTGGAGCAGGCTCCAAGTCCCCTAGAGATGGCTCTTTGCTCCAAAGAGCCGGCTCTTTGAAATCTTGAGCCGTCTCTTCTCTGTTCTTCATCTCTTTCACGTCCGGCGATTTTCCGACGAACTGTTCTTCATCCCTAGGGTTCCTAAGTGTTTTAATTAGATTCCAGTATGATTAAAAGCAATTTAAATTCCTTATTCAACCAATGATACTAATTAATCATGAATTATACCATAAAGAATTTAAACTGGAATGTTTTTCCCATCCATGAACATACTGTTCAGGTGAACACCCACACGAACCATATTCAGTTTAATGTTGTCCCAAGGTGTTCCAAAATTGATTAAACCCCTTTATTCATTAATTAACATGAATGCAATTATATGGTATACAAGAAAACATCTAAGCAACAGTATATAACTTACAAACATAAACAGTTTTAACACAACAGAGGCATGGAAAATTTCAGTTTAAATTTTAATCTTTATATTCCCTGGAGTTGTATTAGACGTGCAAAGAACATGAGGCAAAGGGAAGGAGTTAGGATTAGAACTTGCCTTTGAGACTTTTGTTTAAAATCTCTACGTCGTCTTCTAAGGTCTCCGGCGATTTCTACTGCAAAACTCCTCCTCTGTTCTCTCTCTCTGCCTCCACATACGTGAATAGGGTTTTCTAAAAACCCTAGGCAGAACTTAATGCTTGAATTTATAAGATTAAGGTTACCCTAATTCTAGTCCTAATACTAGACATGAAAAAATAAGTCGGCTAGAAAAATAAATAAAACCAAAACCCTAAGTTCAATTAACATAGTACAGAAAAATAAAATATAATTAAATAATTAATTCACCAACCTAAATCCAATTAAATAACAATTAAAATAAAAAATTAAACTTAATTAACAAGTCAATACTAATTCACACAATTAAATAATTAAATCAACCCTAAACAAAATAATTAAACAACTAAACAAGTCATGTAACTTAAACACACAATTAAACAAGTAACAAGCAATTCAAATAAACAATTAAATAATTTAAAATTCAATTAAAACAAATCAAATAATTTACAATTAATTCACAATTAAATCAAAACAAATTCACCATTAAATAAATAAAAATGCAACTTAAACAATTAAATAAATTCCAGGTATATCCTTTTAAATTAGGGCTATAACAGCAGCTCTGCTACAATCGATCGTAATGAGCTGGCATTTGACCTTATCCACTTTAATCTTATTGCTGACGTGGCTGCTGACGTAGACTTACGATCGATTATAGTTGGATTGCGAATGATCGTGAATAGCTGCGAACGATCGTGATGACGTGACTTAACAATCTAATAACTTAAACTTGCGATCGATCATGACCCCTTATGGACTTTTTCTAGACTTTTCTCAGTGCATTTGCTCGACTCCAAAATGACTTTAATGAACTGTTTTTAGCCCGTTTGAACCTTATTGATCTGAAATTGACAAAAATACAAATTATGACTGAAATGGGAAAGTAAAGATAGATGAAAGATCTAAAATACCCGAGATTAGGGCTGAATAGGTTCATATTTCAGCACTTATCAATAATATTAAAAAAATATTTATTTAATTAAATAAAATGAAATCTAATTAGAGCAAAAATACTAATAATAATAATACAGTTCATGAAATATTGAAATTCAGTAAAATGAAATCTAATTAGGAAAAGAAATATATAATTTGTTTCAATAAATAAATAACAATCAACGGGCCAGTGGCCTAACGGTATCAACATCTTACTTCTCAAAGGGTGTGTGAGCACCAACTAGGAAATAATAAATAAAAAAAAATTAAACTAAGAATTGTATATACAAAATTATTTTTAAATTTAATTTTTTATTTATACTTCACTTTAATTTTTTATAATATTTTTTTTTAAAAAAAAAAACATGTTTTTATAATATTATGTATATATAATAAATAATAATGCAAAATCATTCTTCTATAATATATATTTTTTATCATTAAGTTTCAATACATTAATGTGTTTCCACACATTATTTTTTAATAATAAATTTATATGTTATGTATGTATGTTTCCTTTTCAAATAACACAAATTACCTATCTATTATCCGTTTTTATTTTAAAACTAATATAAGGTGTTTAGAAGATGAATTTTCTATACAACTCAAATTACATATTTATTATGAATTCTTTTTTTTTTTAAAAAAAAAAAGGAAATATATATATAAAAAATTAATTTAGTCTTTCTAATTATACAAGGAAATGTATAAAAATATATAAATAATTTAGTATATTTATAAAACTTAAATTACGTATTTATTATGAGTTTTTTATTTTGACAAAAGTAAATCTAATTAGTTAAGAAAATATATAAAGAAAATAAATAATTTAGTCTTTCTAATTAGACAAGGAAATATATAAATAATATAAATTATTTAGTCTATTTAGTCTACACATATTTTCTAATTTTATAAATAATATATAAAAAAATTTCTAATATATAAATCAATAAAATATTAGTAAATTGTAATAAATAAAAAAATAGTCTTAATTTTGATATTATTTTAGGAGTTTAAAAATACATCTATCAATAACTGAATTCCTATTGTAAAGTTCAATTAAAAATTATATTTTTATCTCTATTACCTTGTGTCAATTTTATGTTAATGAATATTTTAGAGTTTATAATTCTTTAATTACTTTATTGATTTTAAATTAGATTTTACTCACATGCAATAGTATATTATTTTTTAATAATAAATTTATATGTTCCGTATGTAAGTTTCCTTTTAGAATAACACAAATTACCTATTTATTATGAATTTTTATTTCAAAATTAATATAAGGTGTTTAGAAGAGTTTCTATAAAACTCAGATTACCTATTTAGAAATTACCTATTTATTATGAGTTTTTTTAATAAAAGAAAATCTAATTAGATAAGGGAATATATATAGAAAATAAATAATTTAGTTTTTCTAATTAGACAAGGAAATATATAAAGGAATTATATAAAAATATGTAAATAATTTAGTCTATTTAGTCTACACATCTTTTCTAATTTTATAAATAATATATAAATATTTTTTTAATATATAAATAAATAAACTATTAGTAGATTGTAATAAAAAATAGTCTTGATTTTGATATTATTTTAGGAGTTTGAAAATGTACCTATCAATAATTGAATTCCTATTGTAAAGTTCAATTTAAAATTATATATTTTTATTTCTTTTACATTGCGTCAATTTTATGTTTTAAAATTTACAATCATTTAATTATTTTGTTAAATATTAATTTTAAATTAGATTTTACTAGTGTGCAATGCACATACAATTTTACTAGTATATATAAAAGTATAAGGCACTACAATTTTTTTTTTTTAAAAAAAAAAAAAACTTGTAAGAGAGGGAGATTTTGTTGGTATAATTTTAAAGTATGTAGTATATAATTAAATAAATCTGATTTTTCACTTTTTTCAGGTATATGTTGATTTTAAAATGTTGCAGGTATAATATATAGATGGAGGAGGAGGAAGAGGAGAATGGTGGTTATTGCTGCAGCTGCAACTATTGGGGAGCCTTATTTTGGATTGCAACGTTGGACAGCTTTGGGTGCTTCTTAATGCTAGCGATGGTGGCTCTAGCCATTGATTTGGTGCTACGATTTGCACAAAATATCAATGACATAAACCATCACACCAATTCCTTTCCCAATCGAGATCTCTTTTTTTTTGTGGCTATTTATGGCGTTTTCATTCTCTTGCTGTATTTTTCTTTTCTGGATCGAAGCCATGGCTATCTTTTTCAAAGATCACAAAGGCAACCACAGCTAAGAGGCTAGCTAACTACTAGTATAATAAGTTTATGCTACTAATTTTATGGGATGATTGTTTTTTTTTTTTTTAGTTTTTTCTCTTGAACTCTAACTCTTATATATATATATCTGTGTGTGTGTGTGAATGACAATATCTGTGTAAATATTTATTGTGTGAAATTGAGGCTAGAGATCACATCCGAATTGTAGAAACTCGGTGGGACGTTGTAGAATTTGTGTTAGGAATCATTAATTTCTTGGACTTCTGCGGAATTAGGGTTATGGCAGAAGGTCGGTGTATTTATATTATATATATATGGGTCAAGTGTAAAAAACTCCCCTCAAGTAAGCTTATAGTGCATAACACACCCCTCCCATGCAAAAAATACCCCTCAAGTTTTAATTTGGTGCAATTAAGTCCCTTTGACATATTTAAAACCAAACTTGACTAAAGTACCCTCTAGTCAACAATTTTATAAAATATATAAAAATATAATATTTTGTAAAAAGACCAAAAAGGACAATTACACACCCATTCTGCAATTTTGTCTGGGTTTATAGCAAACGATGATGAAGAAAATCCCCCTTCTGGGATTCGAGTTGTGGCATAAATAGGGGAGACAGTGGCGGAGACAACCATGAACTCAGGGAGGCGGGGCGGAGGATGAGCCAAACGATGAAGAAGATGACTCCAATTATGAGGACGGCTGCGATAAGATTGTAATGACCCGAACCCGAGAGTCCGAATCGCTAACCGGGTCCTTACCCAAACCTGAGGTCAACTAAGGGTACTACCGTCTTTTCCTATGTCAATACATAATATATGTGTCATCCCAGGGTTTATAAAAGAATATAATAATAATAAATAAATGAGACCATAGCTACAAAGTATGTCAAAACGGTCTACTAACCCATCGAACCATGTGGAGGAGCGTCGTCCACCACTGCCTTATGTGTCCTAAAAAATGTTAAATATAAGGGGTGAGCAAATTGCTAAGTAGGTGATACCTAAGACACACCTCTTGTGACCCCGTGAATCCACACAATAAATAGAAATAAAGAAGCGGGATCATACCATACCAAGGTAAACATAGCAACAAATTCGACAATCCAAGTCATAATTAAATTATACCGTGTAATGGGATGCAATGCCATACAATGTCACTCCCCATTTTACAAAACTATTTCTGCCATCATTTCCAAACCGTTAACATAACCCGTTCTTTGAAGACTCCTCGGCGACACGAGAGAAGGATTGGCTACAGTTCCTGACCCTTGGTACCTCCGTAGCGTCATTTGATGGCCAGATAGCTCAACCACGTTCGGGTAATTTTCCTAATTCCCTCTAGGTTACGTTAACGCTATGGACCTTCGGTACCTACTCGACGTCCGGGTTTTCACAAAACCACTTATCAAAAAAAATCTTTTCTAAAACCCCATTTTCATTTCAAAACAATTCTTTCCCATTTTTCCTTGCAAATGTCATGCATGAATGCATCATTTATTTTTTTTCCATGTCATGTCAATGACTACTATCATACATCCAATTTAAGTTCAAGTCACATAGAATATTATCAATTAAGCATGATTTGCATATAAAACAATTACTACACATAATCATGGATTCCATACACCACAATTAAATCATTTTAAAGGCAATCAACTCAAATTAAGCATGCTTGACACCAAATATTGAAGAAAAATTCACAAAGGTACAAGAAATTGGGAATTAGAAACCCCTACCTCAATTAGAAGGAAAAAAAGTCCCAATTCAGCCCAAGAAATTCAAAATCCCAAGTGCTCCAAACTGAAAATTGCTCCGATCAATACGAAGCCCACGACGAGCTCTTCAACTTTGTCTTAAATGGTAAAGTCTAAATCCACTGTAAAAAAAATAAATCACTGAAATATCAAATCTCCAAGCTTTCAGCTTTGTGTCTCTATCCTCGAAACTCCCACTCTTCTCTAATTTTTTACCAAAATCATTACACAGATATAACTTAAATATAGGCAATATGCACCGACCCAACACAAATATCAGTCTAAACATATCACAGCCCACGTGCTCAGTCAAAATCAAAGAAAAATTGGCCACTAATTTCTGCCCGTGGGTCCCACCACCACCTTTATCACAATCTTCTCTCTCTTACTTTTGGCAGCCCACCTTTTCATTCTCTCTATCATCTTATCTTTTCCTTTGCTTTTAATTCATTATATTACATGAAGAATACTGCTCACTCCATCAGACAAAACACATATAAATATATATATATATATATATATATACAAAACTAAAACCTAAATATCTCAAGTGGGCCCCATCATCATCATCACCAATTTCATTTTCTCTTTTCTTCTTTTCAATTTCGACACCTGTATGCTTGCTTCAACTTCTTCAATCAGATTACACTATATATATATATATATATATATATACATACATATATATATAATGTAACAAAAGCAATTCAACCCATTACTTATCACAAGTGGGACCCGTGAATTCACTTTCCTTTTTCCTTTTCATGTCAGCAACCTCTCAATGTGTCCATCTATCTCAATATCTCACATTATATATATATATATATATATATATGCACACACATGTGACAATAAATCAAACTATTAAATATATTCAATTAGGTAAATCTCCAATTATAATTAATTAAATTAATTATGACAACAAAAAGAAAATAATATATATATATATAATGAAATAAATTAAATCTTAAAAATCTAGGTTGTCACAGAGATGGCAGAGGAAAGAGTGGCGACGATGGGTATGAAAATGGTAGTGGTAAACGGCAGTATAGAAGGCGGAGGGCAGTGGCACCGCTGCGTGGGGTTATCCAAAGGTAAAACCCATGAAGGTGGTGCTGGAATTACCCTGTTCGTCCTCATCGACGAGGCGTTCTCGGATCTTCTGGCGACCGTGAAGCCGTTACTAGGGACTGAAGCGATGGATGAAATGACGGTGAGATGGAACAGACGAGCAAGGATGGTTGAACTGCCATATTGAATCGGCTGTGACCTTGTGGCTCGACACCGGCAAGAAGGAGAAGGCGGGCTTTGTTGTGGTGAGGGACAGCCAGTGAGGCAAAGGTCGGCTATGATGGAGGCGGCGGCGAGCAAGAGAGATCTCGGTGATGTGGCTCGGCCGTGATGGAGGCGGTGGTGAGCCAGAGATGGAGAACGACAAGGAGAGCTCGGCCGGTGGAAGGTTGGACTGAATCGGCGGTCGGCGAGCAACGAGCTGTGATGGTGAACTCACGGCGGCTGTGACGGTAAACTCACGGCGGTGAACTGCGATCGGCTGTGAAGAGGACCTAGACACGTTGATGGCGGCGTGTATGATACTAAGCCTTGGCCAGTCAAGCTGTCCCTCGCCACAGTCGACCCCATCTTCTCCTTGCCGGCCAATGCCGCGCTGACTTATCACAGCCGAGTCCTCCGTTCCAATCTGTTAACACAGCACCGTCTGGTTCCAAGTAAAACCCCCTCAATGCACCTTTACGCTAGCTAGGTAAATCAAATCTTCATTATAGAAGTGAACCTTAATCTTATAAGCTAATATTCATTCATTAGTTCTTCTTTGATGCATGTAGGCCTAAGCACTCTGTCTTTACTCAAACAGAGCTACTGAACCCCTCTTTTTTCGTTGAATCCTTCAGACCAGTCAAACATATAGGCAGTGGTGCGTCAAGACCCGTTATGGTCGCCGACGATGGTGTGGCACTCCACGGCAATGCTTCAATCACATGAACTCCTTTGCTCGGTGGTGGTTGTTTTGGGGTTGGAGAGTAAATATGGGCATTTTTGGAAAACTAAAAGGGTAAAATGGGCATTATATTAATTAGGGGTGTTTTTGCACAATTTGAAAAGAATAAGGGTGTTTTTTGCACACATTTTTAAATAAAGGATAAAAATGCTATGAAATGTATGTTCAGGGGTGTTTCTTGCACTTACCCCTATATATATATATATATATATATATATATATATATATATATAAAGAGAGAGAGGATTGTTTAAACTTTGCTAATCCAACTAGAAAATTCCACATATATATAGATGTAGGTGCAAAAATACACTCAAAATAATAATAGAGAAAAAACAACGAACTAGAGAAATTGTATAGAGATGAGGGAGTATTTTGATAATATGACCGAACCTACGAATACCTAGATTGCCAAAGTATCCCACCTCATAGAGCGTCGGAATCAGATCGAAACGTAGTTCTGGCAATGAAAATTGGATCTCTTTTTTGGGGACTTTGCCCTTTTTTCTGTGTGTCCTTTATTGAGGGTCCTAAGCCTTTTTTATATAGGAAAAAACCTTAATCGATTCCTTTTAGGACTTGCACTGCTTGTCCCTTAAGAATCTGAATCACATCATACTATCCTTATAATAAGGATTTACATTATTTGGTTTCCATATATTATAATCCTTCTTTTAATAGAACTGTTACAAAAATGGGTTTAGTAATATATTCGTAATTGGGCTTGGGGTCTCATCATCTCGAGCCTTCTTAATGAGTTCAGCCCATTATGCTTAGTTAACCCGGTCTAAGCTTCTTGTAAAGGCCCAATTTGAAGGTTGAATAGTCTTAGTGTTTGTGGTGGTCCCCTTATATACTAATGTGTCTTGTCTTAATTGGAAGGAGAGATTTTTGCCCACACACTTTGCCCCCAATTCCCTTTAGTTTGATTTGGCTATCAGATCTAGTGTAATGAATTGTATTGATTAACCATAGTGAACCAAAAGTTCATGTCAATTGAAAAAGCTGGGACAATATGCCTTAATGGCAGCGATATAGGTAATTTTCATGTAAGTTTATTCTTTAGCACTATTTTGTGCCTTAGAGGATTTTATATGAAAATTTAACCGTCGACTCTTCGAGGTAATTTTCATGTAATTTTATTCATCGGCACTATTTTATGCCTTAGAGGATTTTATATGAAAATTTAGCATTCGACTCTTCAAGTAAATTTTCATGTAATTTTATTCCTCGACACTATTTTGTGCCTTAGAGAATTTATATGAAAATTTAACCTTCGACTCTTCGAGGTAATTTTCATGTAATTTTGTTCTTCGGCACTATTTTGTGCCTTGGAGGATTTTATATGAAAATTTAACCTTCGACTTCTATGAGTTCGAGGTAATTTTCATGTAATTTTATTTCTCGGCACTCTTTGTGCCTTAGAGGATTTTACATGAAAATTCAACCTTCGACTTCTTTGAGTTCGAAGTAATTTTCATGTAATTTTATTCATCGGCACTCTTTGTGCCTTAGAGGATTTTACATGAAAATTTAACCTTTGACTTCTTTGATTTCGAGGTAATTTTCAGGTAATTTTATTTCTTGGCACTCTTTTATGTCTTAGAGGAGTTTTACATGAAAATTTAACCTTCGACTTCTTTTAATTCGAGGTAATTTTCATGTAATTTTATTCATCGGCACTCTTTGTGCTTTGGAGAATTTTACATGAAAATTTAACCTTCGACTTCTTTGAGTTCGAGGTAATTTTCATGTAATTTTATTTCTCGGCACTTTTTTGTGCCTTAAAGGAATTTTACATGAAAATTTAACCTTCGACTTCTTTGAGTTCGAGGTAATTTTCATGTAATTTTATTCATTGACACTCTTTGTGTCTTAGAGGAAATTTGAAGTCCTCGAACTCTTGAGATCCGAAGACAAATTTTATTCCTAGGCAGCTATTTGTGCCTTAGAGGAATTTGAAGTCCTCGGACTCTTAAGATCCGAAGACAAATTTTATTCCTCGGCAGCTATTTGTGCCATAGAGGAATTTTGAAGTCATAGGACTCTTGAGATCCGAAGACAAATTTTATTTCTCGACAGCTCTTCGTGCCTTAGAGAAAATTTGAAGTCCTCAGACTCTTGAGATCCAAAGACAAATTTTATTCCTCGGCAGCTATTTTGTGCCTTAGAGGAATTTTGAAGTCCTCGAACTCTTGAGATCCGAAGACGAATTTTATTCATCGACAGCTCTTTGTGCCTTAGAGAAATTTTAAGGTCCTCGGACTTTTGAGGTCCAAAGATTATTATTCATCGGCAGATGTTTATGCCTTAGAGGAACAGGGCTTGGAAATGGCTCGTGGGCCGCCTCTGTTACCAATGGCCCTCTTTGCAATGTTTGAGTGATTCCTTATCTAAATGAGTCGATAAAGTTGTACTTTATCGATGTGGGACAACATACATATTTTTGTTTATGTCCGCCTAAAGAAAGAAAAAGAAAGAATATATTTTCTTTTCTTAATATGTCTTTAGGGCTCTCATCTTGCCCCATTACGAAAGGTATTGCCCCCATTAAGGAAAGAAAAATAGTTTCATTTTTGTTTTGCATTTTTTTTTAAAACCAAGACCAACTATGGAGTTTAAGCAGAACACAAATATAAGCATATATATATATATATATATATATATATATATATATATGAAGAGTATCGAGTATGAGCATTGGTGACGTCATCGCTCCTTAGATGAAAAATGCAAAACTGATGCTTATACTTTGTGATTTATATTTATATGGATTTTAATAGATGCAAAAGCTAACTGATATCATCACTTTTTATATGCTTATATTTGTGATTTTGAAGTCTTTCTTTTCTCTCTTTGTTTTTTTATTTTTTATTTTTATATACATATATAATTGCTTAAAGAAGCAATGATACATTCAACCACCTACAGTTTTCAATATGTAGCTTTCAGATTTTGGAGTGGCAGTGGTACATCAATAAACTCAGCAAGCTATAACATATGCAATACCATCTCATGTTATTGGAACCTTTAGAAACTTAGCCCCGGAGTACATGATGTATGGCAAAATTGATGAAAAAATAGATGTATATTCTTATGGGGTTATGATCCTGGAGCTAATAACTGGGAAAGAAGCTATTGAAACAACCCACACATCTAATCAAGAAAGCTTAACTCTGGGTACTTCTCTAAGAGAAAATAATTTTTAATTTTGAAAGAAAACTTTTCATCCTAAAGTTCTAAGCATTTATGCCAATTTGATGAGTACTCCACTGCTCTAAAGATCATGATTAAAATCAAATAAAATAATTAAGGTAAACCAAGATTTTGATATATACCTTTGTGGATCAACGGGATAGTGGTTTTTCATAAATTCAACGTCCCAATATGCGTATATAAATTCTATAGATTTACCATCTTCTTAATTCCTATAAGAAAAACCCTGGCCTTAATCATGCCTATTGGGTTTTGATTCAATAATAGAAATCATGAAGAAAACATTAATTAAAGTCAATAAAGTCGGCAATCGTACC